CAGTAACATTTTGAAATATTTTTACTATTTAAAATAACTGCTTTCTATTTGAATATATTTTTAAATGATTGCTGTGATCAAAGCTGTTTTCAGCATCATTACTCCAGTCTTCAGTGTCACATGATCCTTCAGAAATCATTCTAATGTGCTGATTTGCTGTTCAAGAAACATTTTAGTATTAATTATTATCAACATTTAAAACAGTAAATTTTTTCAGGATTCTTTGATTAATAGAAAGATCCAAGATTATAATTTATCTGAAATAAAAAGATTTTGTAACATTATAAACAATACCATTCAAAAGTCTGGAGTCTTTGGGTAAGACATTATAAAAAATAATACTTATTTTTAGAAAGAATACTTTCAATTGATCAAAAGTGATGATAAAGACATTTATAATGTTACTAAAGATTTCTATTTCAGATAAATGCTGTTCTTCTGAACTTACTATTCATCAAAGAAACCTGAAACAAAATCTACTCCGCTGTTTTCAACATAATAATAATAATAAATGTTTTTTGAGCAGCAAATCAGAATATTAGAATGATTTCTAAAGGATAATGTGACTGGAGTAATGATGCAAAAAAAATTTACGTTGAAATCACAGGAATAAATAGCATTTTAAAATATATTCAAATAGAAAAGTTATTTTAAATAGTAAAAATATTTCAGAATTTTAATGTTTCTGCTGTATTTTGGATCAAATAAATGCAGGCTTGGTGAGCAGAAGAGACTTCTTTAAAAAACATTAAACAATCTTGCTGTTCAAAAACTTTTGACTGGTAGTGTATATATTTAAATACCTTCTGACACTTCTGTCTTGTTTTATAAATCTCATTTTAAATTTAATTTAGAATGATTACATTTTAGAACAGCTAAATGTTCTAATATTAATGTTACTGCTGTAAAATTGATCATAATAGATTAACATGATAATAAATATTGATAATAATTGGGACTGTGTTAGTGAATATTCAGCGTTGACATACATCTTTAAATCTTCTTGTGCAGACAGTTTATTGGTCTGCAATGTAGACATGAGGTTAGCATTTTAGAGCTGTTTGCTGTGATAGAAATCTGAGACATTCTGAAGGATTATTGAAATACTGAGGTTTAACGCTCATAAAAGAGAGTGTTTTTAAATACTGACCCTACAGCAAAAGCATGCTGTGTTTTATTGTAGGCATATTGTTTCTTGTGACCCTGCATGTGAAAGTCCTCTGTTTTATGGCGCTTTAAAGAACTCCGTTATACACACCAAGGGGACGTGGTTAAGCAGCTCGTTTCAAAAAGACGCTGTATAACAGCAACTTGAATCCAAAACAGCAGCATTGGGGAGAAAACATTCAACCTGTCAGGTTCAGATGTGTGCAGACAGAATGAGGTCTTAAATGATTCTAAATGGTTTTAAAGGTTCTTCAAAGGCAAGAGCTTTTGAGTGACACTAAACGGGGAGGTCACATTCCTCGTGTGCACATGCCCCAATGTACAGACGCGTCTCTCACAGGGAATTATGGGTAATTTGCACTGATACGGCAGTGAGAATGGAGAAGAATTGGGAATGTGGCAGCTTTAGTGGATAAGAGATAATCAGGGTCAGGGAAGCATGTAAAAAAATTAAGCAAAAAATTCATAATGCCATCATATCAGTTAAAGCTTTTATAGTATTTGTGTATTTAAACTTCTAGAAGCACAACTAGGGGTTAAAACCATCCGCAATAATCCATAATCATATTGTGACACCTTTAAAAGAGAAAATAATGGTAGTTTTATCAATGCAACCCATATATAGACATTCCAGTTGAGTTTTGTCTCAATTTAATGTGTGTAATCATTTAAAAAATCTTTAAAGCATTATGCTTCCCTCTATCATTTCAAATCATGGTTACTCAACCAAAATCCCAATTTTGCCTCTGGGCACAACAAAACCAGACCTGCTTCACGTACTTCAACAAATACAGCAGATCCATCCATCAGCTCACTTCAAACATTAATAAAGTTTTCTGTCATCTCTCATGTTTCCTTTGTATTTTCACCCTCCCCCATCTTCGTGCGTTTGCCGCATTCCCACACTCTCTGAGTGTTTTCAAATGTACTCTGATGGTCCTTCACTGGTCTCCTGGGGTCGTTTTCCATGGCCGCCTGAAACATTGCCAACATTTTGATTAATTGAACTTCAAAACATGCAATGTTGAAAGCATTGGTATTTTTGCATGTGCATATTAACTTAACTGAGCTTCTTTTTCTTGTTCTTTCCCTCCTGTCCTCTTTCTCGTCACTTCATAGGAGTTGATCCCTGAGTTCTACTACCTGCCGGAGATGTTTGTGAACAGTAATGGCTACTGTCTGGGTGACAGGGATGACGGTGTCCCTGTTTGTGATGTAGAACTACCAGCCTGGGCAAAGAAACCTGAGGACTTTGTCAGGATCAACAGGATGGTAAGTCGAACTCGCTACCTAAACACGACAACTCTCTTCATCACATGGCCTGAACAGAATCTGCACATACAGGATTCTGTCATTCACAAAGTTTGTAGATACAATAGTAGACTTTAGTGAGTGTTTCTCAGCACAGAGCCCAAGATAGTTGTCCTCTCCCGACCATCTCTCTCTTCTGTTTAGCTTTGGGAATATTAGAAAACAATTCAGATTGGGATTCTTGCTCCAATTCCTCTTAATAGTTATTTTCCCTCAACAGTTTCATTAACAATTGTGACCCTTGATCACAAAACCAGTCATAAGTAGCACAGGTATATTTGTAGCAATAGCCAACAATACATTGTATGGGTCAAAATTATCGATTTTTCTTTTATGTCAAAAAATCATTAGGATATTAAGTAAAGATCATGTTCCATGAAGATATTTTGTACATTTCCTACTGTAAATATAGCAAAACCTAATTTTTCTGCACCCTCAGATTCCAGATTTTCAAATAGATACAGTACATATCTCAGCCAAATATTGTCCTATCCTAACAAACCACACATCAATGGAAAGCTAATTTATAGATGATGTATAAATCTCAATTTAAAAAACATTGACCCTTATGACTGATTTTGTTGTCCAGGGTCACAATTCTGTTGATAGTTTTAAGAAATATAAAAAAATAAATAAATATATATATATATATATATATTGGTGGTTTCAAGTTTTATCTCTATTAAAGACTATATGTGACCCTGAACCACAAAACCAGTCTTAAGTGTCAATTTTTCAAAATTGAGAT